CTTGTCTTGCTCGAGAGAGAGAGGTTTTAGAACTAAGATTATTGATTAATGATTTGTCGGTATAGGGTTGAGCTGGGTTCAGCTCGAGAGAGTGTATCCTAAGTTGAATCCTACCCATCTAGCTTGAGAGAGTGGATGAATTAAGGTGTGGGTTGTTCTTCATTGTTATGATTGGTGATGTTCGAACGAAATCACTTGATTTGGGGTAGTTGTTCGAGAAAAAGTTATCTCCCTTATAGTCTAGACTACTAACTGATTTTTAGCAGTTTACTAGTAGTTTCAATTACCCATATATCAAACTATTCCTATAAGCGATCATATCACGAGAATTCCTCTCCTTATTGTTATTTCAAATTGTTTGTGACTGCGTTGTAGTTGATAATTGCAAACCAACCCCCCTTCATCTGACATTCGTGTCACCCCTTTTAATTTGTTTCATGTCTTTTTCTATAATTTCTATTCCTATAACTAGTTAGATCATACTCATACTTTCTAAATGAATTTGAACACGTACAGCTCCCTATGGGATTCGACCCTAACTAAATTGTTGGGTTATATATTACTTAACGACTGTCTATACCTAGAATTACAGGAAGTGTATTTGATAGACGTTACTCAATTTTATCAAAATGGCGTCGATGCCGGGGAGTGGTGTTGTTTAAAATTCTTTTAGTGAAGTTGAATTGTGATCTTTTTAGTTATAGTTGAATGTACTTATTTTAGTTTTTGATTTGTGTTGTCTTTGTTAAACAGAGGAGGAGATGAGTGTTAACGGAAGCAATGGTAGCCAAGTGGGCCACCAAGATGATTTAGGAAACCTCAATGATGTAAATGACCCTAATGTCAATGACCCAATTCCATTGGGTGGTGTGGGGGCAACACGTCTACATCCAACCAAAGGAAATGATGTTTTTCATATCACTAGCACAATGCTACAGCTCCTGCAACTGAAGGGTTTGTTTTGGGGGCTTGCTCATGAGGATCCCCATGAGCATATTCAAAACTTTGTGGACGTCTGTGGTCTATTCTCATTCAAGAGTATATCACAAGAATCAGTCTGTCTCAGGTTGTTCCCATTTTCTTTTATGGGTGAGGCTAGTAAGTGGTTGGCTGAGTTGCCAAAAGATTCCATCACTTCTTGGGACGAGCTTACCACTGCATTCCAAGTGTGCTTATTTCCCCATCGAAGATGATGACTCTTAGGAATACTATCCAAGGTTTCAAACGCTTCGAAGGTAAGCCAATCCATGAGACGTGGCTAAGGTTTAAGAAGTTGGTGCTGCAATGCCCAAATCATGGTCTTCCAAATAATGTGCTGCTGCAATATTTCTATAGGAGCCTTGACTCGGTGAACAAAGAAGTTGTTGATCAACTTGTTCCCGGTGGTATAATATAACAACCCTATGAAATAACATCTCAACTCTTTCATTACATGACCAAGATCAATAGGGCATGGTACACTCGTGAGTTCCGATTCTCTCCTCTCAATTTTAGAATGACAAAAGAGCAGATCAAAAAGGATCAAGAGAGTCACCAACACATGGCCAATTTGATAACCCAGCTGGATATCTTGTCTAATAATGTCATGGGTGTTGGTACAAAGAGTGTTAATGTTGTGGGTGTTTGCGGTGTAAACCCTGATGAGGCACAATTTGTAAGCGTTGTACAATGAGAAAGTGGACTTCCTAGCCAATCAAGGAGGAGGTTATCGTGCAAACTACCTAAGAACAGGTGGAAATCAAGGTTGGAATAGAGATGAGGGCTGGAGAAACCGTGACAGAGATTGGAGTGATTGCAAAACCATTTGTAAGTAAAGAAAGGGGGAGAAGGATAGATATGTTCCCCATGAATGTCAAAAGCCCAAGGAATCTGAGTGTGGCCGTACGAAAGACATGCTCTCACACATTCTCAATAAGGTTGAAGGGTCCGACAAAGTGTTGGAAGAAATGAAAGAGGATGTCTCGACTCTCAATCAGACGGTGACCTCTCACTTAGTCTCTATTAAGCAGCTGAAGACCCAAATGGGTCAAATTTCTTCACATTTGAATCCAAGACAACAAGGGGGATTGCCTAGTGACACAATGGAAAACCCCAAAAATGAAGCTTGAATGGGTACTTTTATCGTGCCACAACGATAACTAAGGTGCTTCTTGGGAGGCAACCTATGTTTTTAATCCTTTAAGTTATGATTTTGTATAGCAGGTGTTGATTGTGCAGGTTGAAAAGTGAAGTTTGTTTGAAAATAGGCATTTTGGCGAGCCAACAGACCAGTCAGTGAATCATCGAAGAGGTCGGAGAGCCCGACCTGGACCTTTGTTGGACTCACCAAGCCTGAAGTGGAAGTCTTTAAAACTCAGCGGGCAAATTGCTTAATCTGCGAGGCTAATTTTGTCTACCATTTGAACCCTCAAATTTTCTGGAGGTCCTATAAAAGTCGACGAGCTAAAGTACCACTCGGTGCATCACTGAGTGTTTTGGCATGGACGACTTACTCCACCGATCGTGCCACTAACTGAAAGGTTTTAAAGGCCAAACAGTTTAAAATTTCAAAATATTTCATATTCTCTCATTTCTAACCCCATGCACTCTCATCTGAACTTTAGATTTTCCTTATTTTGCTATTTTGTTCATATTTTGTGTGTGATCTCATGCTCGGAATCAGAATACTTTGCCTCCTAGCTTTTTAATTTCTTCATTTAGCATACAGGTTGGTTTTCCGAAGTACCTTTGTTTAAGTGGTTAAACTCAAATTCAATAGGTAAATGGATGTTGATATGTGTTGGGTTATTTCTTTAATTGTGTTTTATGTGTCGGATTGTCCATAAAGTGTTTAAACTTGTGCCTAATGCTTAAAAAGATGATTTCATATGTTGAAATTGTTTCCTAATTGTTGGATTGCGGTTATTTTGTATTGAGTCTAGTTGGGTGAATTTTGAGTAACCCCAAATTGTGAAAAATACATATTATACCTAATGATGGAGCGTTTGACGTCGTTTTTAAGGGCAAAAGTAATCGAATGAGCAATTTTGGCAAAATTAGGGGAAGTACGAGTACCCTGAAGACATGGGTCATATGGGTCTGACACTTATTTCATGGTTTTTTTTATTATTTTGAATTTAGGGCTGCGGGCTTCATTTTGGGAAATGGGGTTGAAAATTAGCACATTGGACCATTTGGTGAGTTGCGTCGAGCTCGCCGAATGGTTCGGCGGTTCGCCAAAGTCCCCCTTTGATCGCCCTTAATTTCATGTTTTGGCTAAGGTGAGTCTCTAAATTTCGATGGGAAGCCTAAGCATGCTAGTTCACTCGGCGACTCGCCGAAAGGTTCCTTTGATCTCCCTTTTTGCGCCCCTAACACCTAAAATACACTGTAATATTCGGTGCGCTAGTCGAAGATCGTTGATTGGTTTCAGCAATTTGCCGAAGGGCACTAATCATCGCCGACATGCCTTAATTCTGGAAATTTTTAGAGCTCATCATTTCGGCGAGCCCGATCTGGCTTGCCTAAGCGACTCGGTGACTCGCCGACAGGTTCGACAAGTCTTTTTGCAACTTGATTTCTGCAATATTCTTGAACGATTTCTAACACTATTCGATGTGTTTTAAAGATATGGCTAGACCTAAAGTCCCAGGAAGAAACATGTTGCCCCGCAAGAGGGCGAAAGGGATCATTATAAATGCGGATGCAGCGGCATCCAAAGCAAAGGCAACCAACATTCCTACAAAGGATTGGAAAGGCAAAGGAAAGGGCAATGCGCTCGTAGTTGAGTCACCGAAGGTCAGCTCCGACAGTGAGGGACTATACGCGACTCACCTTACCACATCAGAAAGTGAGGTAGAACACCAGGATTCTTAGGTTGCCATCTCTAAGAGACTGAAAATGACCAGCTTCTATTGGTCTAAAGAGCAGAAATGCGCTCCAAGAGGATGCATGATCCGTCTAGGATCGGGTGCCTCAGACTTCTCCTCTTCCTCAAGCTCCAGATCAGATTGTGGTCCCAGCACCACCTGTACAGGGTCCCCCTCCTTCGTCTCTCAACAGACTAAAGGCCGAAGGACTCAGTACTATCATTGAAGAGAAGAGATTGTCCACAAATGGTGTGTTGGACAGATATTCGAAGATATGGAACACCCTTAAGTCCCACAATTTCCAGATCTTCACTAAACCCCGGGGTCCATTACATTCCTAACTGGGTCCGGGAGTTCTACTCGGCCTACAGAGCTTTGGTACTACAGGAAAAGAGGAAGCTTGCTACCTTTAAACCAGTGGATTATGTAGTTGTCCGGGGGAGAAAGGTAAAATGTTATGGTGAAGATATAAACATCATATTGGAATGCACTAACAACATCACTGATCACTACCAGAGTATGATCAAGACAACAACTTTAGAGGATATGAAAGGTTGGATGGCCCCTCTCCTATCTGACAATACTATTAGGTTGATTGAGGTTGGAGTACCAATAGAGAAGAAATACCTCAATGTGGCAGCGAGGTATTGGTTTGGTTTAATTAGTAGCACAATCATGCCATCTCAGAATGAGTCTATCCTCCGCCACACAAAGGCAGCTTGTCTCGGATCAATCATTGCAAGGAAGCGCATCAATTTAGGTGCAATTATCAGACAGGAGATGTCCATGAGATCTACGTAGCGACATACATAACTTCTTTTTCTAGTGTTGATCACTGAGTTATGCAGATGAACCTATGTGCCACGTGATGAAAAGACGGATGTGGATATGACTCCCACCTCCTCTACTCACATCCGGCATATTGAGGCTGAATACTTGAAGGATGACGCTGAGAATAAGAGGGTAGCTTCAGTGGATACATCCCCGGCAGTTGATATTGAGATACTACCTGCAGAGGCAGTATTGCCTACTCAAACCACTGGGCCTTCAGGTATTTCTAGCTCTGTCCCCTCTTTGACTCTAAGCTCTTCTGCCACTCTCCTACCTCCTAGTGCATCCTGAACTACACTCACCCAGGCCATGCTACTACGGATGGGGCACCTAGCCAATTCTGCTGATGTGCGTGCCTCCAGACTAGAGCTTGCGGTTCCTGGGATCATTGAGAGAGCTCTCACCACTACTTTGATAGCTCTTAGATATTCTATTGATCCCCTCACGACAAGTATATTGGTGTGTGAGATAGGTCAAGGACCCACTCATGAGGTGATGGTCTTAAAGGCCGCGATTGCAGAGTTGAGGAAAGATGTGGACCAACTGATGTCCACTAATATGTCGATGATTTTTGGGACCGTGGAGATCCCTGAAGACTTGGGCACATATATTCCGGTCTATTCTGATGTGCCCCCGGCTCCCACCGAAGATGAGGTTAGATCTAATGATGTCGTTACTGAGTTTGACGCCGAGACTATTGAGGAGCAGCATGGTGTTTAGGAGGAGACCATCTATATGGGCCTGACTAAGGTCGAGGAGACTATGGTACATTTGGTTGTTCAGACATCTTTGAGGGATACCTCTGTGGAAGGCTCTAGTGGAGGTAATGAGGATGAGACACAGGGCACTGATGCCCAGCCCAGAGTGTGATACCGGGCATTGATTCCCCGATAGACGGAGTGACTTTGATGCAAACTTCACCCAGTCTTAGCCTGGCAGGATGACAATTTTATCTCCCTCTCTGTTGTTTTTATTGATTATTTTTGTTTTGGTTGCATTTTTGTACAACTGCTTTTCTTTTGTGGGTTGGGTGAGTTATTGCCATACCTACCTCTTGTGATTAAAATGTATTTTTGAATATTGGGTTATGTTGATCTACATATGTGTTTTAATTGTGCTTTGATCTTAATCTTGTGGATGCTTGAGCTTGTGGTCCCTTGTTTTGAATGGAATTGGTTTTGAACCTATTTTTAAAATTTGTGCCACCTCTATTGTGTGTGATTGTGGTTGTTCTTGTGCGAATTTAAGAATTGGTTATGATGAATAACGATGACTTGAATAGTGCTCTTAATTGAAAAACATGAATGTGCGGCTATGATGAGGCCAATGAAGTTGTGTAGACAATGTGCAAACTTTTAGCATCTCGTTGTGACTAGCCGGTTATCGAATGAGTCTTTTGTAATGAACTTCGCATAATAGCAAGAAAGTGTGGAGTCTTGTTTGATATTGGTGCCAATGCCTTCTGTGATGAGATTACCTTAAACATTGTGTGTGATGAGACCTAGAATTTTCCCTGCTGGTCCGGTTGACTAAGTGAAGAAAACACTTGAAATGCTCTTAGGCAATAACTTTGAAGAGTGAAACAATTTGACAATATACCTCTCTTGTGGCCAACCTTGTGAGATGTGTGAACATTGCCTGAACCCTCTTGAGCGTTATCCTTTTCTTTGAAGAAACTTGAACAATTGTGATCCCTCTTTATCCACTCACCCATAACTTTCATGAAGTGTGGTTTGTTTGAATAGCCAACTTAGGTCAAAAGCCTAAGTTGGGGGTGTGGTGAAAAGAGAAGCAAAATCAAGAAGTGTGAGAAATCCCCCCTTGAGCAATGGTTTTGAAAAAAATGGAACCCCTCCATGTAAAAAAAAAGAAAGAGAAAAGAAGAAAGTAAAGAAAAAGAAAAAAAGTTGTGAAATAAAGTATTGGAAGCTGCGAAAGAAATGGGGCATCCAGTAGTTTATATGAAGTTGAATAATGTGGTGTATTATGAGTATGATCAAAATGTTAAAGAAAAGGAAGAAAGTGATGTTCAGACCACACTTCATGAAGGTAGAAGTCACTAAGCCTAAATGACCAGGCCTTTACACTCCGCCATGTTACAAGCCTTGAAAAGACCTTTGTGATATTGAGTAAGTTTAAATGGATGTTGATTGGAAAATATGGGCAAACTCATGGGTAAAGTCATGCATGAATTCATCTTTGTGAGTTTGAGAGTTGTATGTGATTTCGAAACTATAAATTGTTGAAGAACTTTGAGTGATAGGGAATCCTATTTGTTGTGAGGGCGTTTGAGTACATTTGTTGAGCTTGAACTTGCATTTAAAGAAAGTACTGTGAAATTCAACATCTTTGATAACGGTGACTCGCAATTTGAATTTTTGAGTGGACAATTCATCATTGCATGAGTAAGTTGAACCTTGTTGTGTGCATTCATGTTTAGTCTTATGCAGCACTATTTGAGACATCCTTTTTGAACTGTTGATCTTGAGTTTTACTTGAGGACAAGCAAAAGTTTATGTTGGGGGTGTTAATGAGTCCGAGATTTGGTCTCATTTGGGGCTTTGTTTATATAGATTTAGTGTCCTCAAATGCTTCATTTGTCCCATAAACTGATGTCAAAGCCTTGATTTTTAGGTATATAGATTGAGGAACAAAGCGAGGACACTTAAAGGAAAAAAGGAACAACACAAACTAAAGAAATAAAGAAAGGCAAGCCTGGTGATTGCCAAGAGCACTTGGTGGATCGTCGAGCGGCTCATTTGACCACCTAAAGTTCCAGTGTACCAGCCCTAAGGGAAGAAATCAAGTCGGAAATAAAAAAAGGGTAGTCGGCGAATCGCCGAGCAGTTCCATGATGCAAAGAGAGATCGCCCAAAGTTACGAGACTTGAGGATGCTGAGCCAAGGCAAAAAGGTGATCGAAAAGAGCAATAGGCAGTCCAGTGAGTGGTTCGGCGAACTCGACTTACCTCGCCTAATGGCCCTTCGTGGCTTATTTTTGGTGACTATAAATTAGATTTTGAATAATTAATTTAGGATGCTGAATTAGTTTAGAATACTTTTCTCTTGATTTTTTCATAGTTCTTAGTAGACTTGAAGAATTTTGGAGATTCAATTTGGAGATTTTGCAAGTTGGTTTCGCTTTTTTTACAAATTAAAGCATTTTAAAGACTAAATTACTCTGACCCAGTTGATGGCTAATCAATTTGGTAATCATTTTTACTCTTTTATGATGTTTGGCTGAAACCCCAATTCTTGGGTGTGACCATGTGATTATGGGTTGAATTAGTTTATGTGTATTGTTAATTACTAAATTAAAGTGAGTTTAATCATTAATTGTGGTTCAAATTATGAATTGTAGTTGGAAATGCAGTTCTAAGTTTGTGTTTTTTGCTTGCGAGAGAGAGAGGTATTAGAACCAAGATTATTGATTAATGATTTGTATGTATTGGGTTAAGTTGGTTTCATCTCGAGAGAGTGAATCCTAAACCCATTCCTACCCATCTAGCTCGAGAGAGTGAATGAATTAAGGTGTGGGTTGTTCTTTATTGTTATGTTTGTTGATGTTCGAAAGAAATCACTTGATTCGGGATAGTTGTTAGAGAGAAAGCTATCTCCCTTATTGTCTAGCCTACTCACTGATTTTTAGACGTTTATTAGTAGTTTCAATTACCCATATATCAAAATTTTCCTATAATCGATAACATCACGAGAATTCCTCTCCTTATTGTTATTTCAAATTGTTTGTGACTGCGTTATAGTTTATAATTGCAAACCAAACCCCCACCCCCACTCCATGTGACATTCGTGTCACCCCTTTTAATTTGTTTCATGTCTTTTTTCGATAATCTCTATTCCTATAACTAGTTAGATCATACTCATACGTTGGGATTGAATTTGAACACGTACCGCTCCCTGTGGGATTCTACCCTAATTCAATTGTTGGGTTATATATTGCTTAATGACCGTCTACATTAGAATTGGAGGAAGTGTATTTGATAGACGTTACTCAATTTTATCCTTGATTCTCAAATGAGATTAATTAACGTGAGTAAATGACTTAGTACTTGCAAATTGGGTTCAATTATGTAGTTTTGCTCGAAAGAGATATTGTAGTCCAATTCTAATTTCCAAATATTCTTGAAAGAGAGTTTTTAGTATCATATTGGGTTGATTTGTATTTTACATAGATGTGACCACTAGAAGATTTTATGATACGATGTTTTGAGATCGAAAAACAATTTGTGACGTTAAAGACTACCCAACCTATCTATGTTTGTCTAGAATTATTGAGCAAGCACTTGTAGCCCTATTTTATGTTTGTACATACTCCCACACCCCTAGATTATCCTTATATTAAATTTGGTGGAATTATCCACCAACTTGTCCTAATTTCTACAATCAATCGGTTTTCAATTTTAATTCTCATTGAATTCTTACATTTAAATCACTCCTTGTGGGATTGGACCACGACTCTTTTGTTTGGTATTTATTTTTGTAGGAATTTCTTACTCATTTAATTGTTTTAGTTAATAATTTGAGTGTTATAACAATGACACCTCTGCTAGGGAGTAGTAGCTAAGAATTCAATTTGTGAAGTTAATTTGTGAAATTGTTTGTTTGTAGTAGAAAACATTGTTGTTTGGTATTGTTGTTGTGCCCCTTTTTTCACGTGGAAATATGAGTAAGAATTGAAGTGATGAGGCTAGTCACTATGGGTATAATGATAACATGGGAGATATGAACGCTATACATCATAATGTCGTCAAAAGTACACGAGAAATCTGGTTACTTCCTACTACTAGGAGAGTTATGTTTTATGTAACAAGATATATGTTGCAATTATTCCAGATGAAAGGAATGTTCGGAGGTCTTTCTCATGAAGACCCTCATGAATATCTCTGAAATTTTGTGGACATTTATGGGCCTTTCATCTTTAAGAATATCTCACAAGAATCCATAAGTTTGAGGTTGTTTCCTTTCTGTTAATCGGGAGAAGCAACCAGGAGGATGGCCGACCTATTCATGGGAGGAACTGATAGAAATGTTCCTTAAAAGATTTTCCCTCCTTCGAAATGGTAAAACATAGACATAGCATCAAGAATTTCAAGAGAATGGAAGGTGAACCTCTCTATGACACTTTGTTGCGATTTAAAATGTTAGTGTTACAATGCCCGACACATGGAGTTCGGACAATTTATTGCTACAATATTTCTATCATAGCCTTGATACAGTAAAACAAGAATTGGATGACTAACTTATCAAAAGAGGGATAATGCAAAAACCATTTGATGTGGCAACAATGTTGCTTAATGATACACCCACGACAAACCGAGCTTGGCATTTTAGGAAGGATGAAGTATCTTCTCTATAGTTGGGTATGAGCAAGGAACAGATTGATATGAACCAAGAGCGTGATAATGATATGGCCAAGATGATGACTCTACTTGACTTGTTAATCAAACACGTCATGGGGGTGGATGGATATCAGTAAACATAGTTGGTAGAAGTAGTCATAAGTGCCACATTATGCAAAATTAGAGGCATTATACAATGAAGAAGTGTGATACATAGGGAACAAAATGGGGGGCTCTTAGCCAAACTATCCTAGACCGGGTAGGAACTAAGGTTGGACTAAAGAAAGGGATAATGGATGGAGAGATTAGCGAGATACATGAGGTAATTGGATAGATTGTGATGTTGACAAAGATAGATACATACCACCTCCTTATCATCAAAAATAGAAAGAGATAGTTGCACCGCAAAAGAATCAAACCGATGATATGTTCACTAGGATCCTTATAAGGTTGAAGGGTTCTGCAAATTATTAAAGGACTTACAAAATTACTTCTCCACTTTGAATCAAATGGT